ATTTATTACGTTTCTTGTAGATTTTTCTCAGTTTGCTTCGGATAGATCAACATGTGTCTATCACTTTCGCAGAAACGCATAACGATGTCAAAATTTCATGAGTGTAAATAGTCATGACACTAATCGTAGGTACAGCAACAGATAAGTAAAGCAATAAGATTATAAATGGTGCCGTTGAAGGCACACGTGTTTGTAATTCCTTGCAAGAGGAACCTAGAGAACGGCCAAATTTGAAGGCTCCGTGTAGACGAGGAAAAGCATTGGACCCAATGCACTGCCCTGAATGACACCACTAGTGACACTTCTTGGAAGTAGAACTGTTTTGATCCATCTGTACTCTTTTTGTTCGGTCGTTCAGATATGAGTCAAATCAGCTGAATAGTTGATTGCTGATTTCATGAGACCCAAGCACGACCAACAGTGTCTTGTACGGTACGTGGTCAAACGCTTTTGGCATATTTAGCAGCATTATGATAGTCACGCCATCATCGTTTGTTGCTGTAACACGATCAAGGAATTGTAATTTACATGCGACACAGGGACTTTTTTAATGAATCCGTGTTGTAAACTGTTGTGTATGTTTAGTCTTGCCAGAAAGTGAGTGACACGTTTTTTAACGTATCTTACTTAGGTCTTAATGACTTCGGAAATATGTTTTTTCGGCCGACGGTTTGGTATATGATGTTTAGTATAGTGCCTATCCTTTGATGTTTACCGGGGGTATATAATGATGGAATTTCTCACAACGAAATGAAGTGCTGGAAAAGCTGGTGTGTTAATATCCGGTGTAGAGATAGAATACGCTGAAGAAATGCTTATTATAGATATAATATTATGTCTCTCTCGTCACTGAGCTTATGACATCTGGGTACGGCCCCCTGACCTCTCTCGATAAATGTGACTGAGCCTCGGGATCGCGACAGTTTTACATAGGATGTATTTTATGCGAGATTGCTTAGCCGAGCCTGAGTTCTAAATAACGGGTCGCCATGTGGTGGCTCTTACACTCTCTCAATTTCACGGAAGAGAATTTGCAGAGTGGTTCCTTACTGCTGACGTAAGATATGCCCATGAGAATGGACCAATAGCCTTAGAGAGAAGCTGAATGTTTTAGCATTATGTAGTAGACTGTCACGCAGTTAAGTGAGTAGAAATCAAGATGAGATAAACTGCACAGTTATTGATCACGATGGCTGGGAGCATGTGTCCCTAGAAAGTGATCAGTCAGACTATGTCACATCTCCTTCATGTTCTACGAAGTCAGTTAGTTTATGCAAAAGATATGGTCAGATACGTTGTCAAATTTAGTAACACTTTTTGGTCATTCATGATTGAAAGATATTTTTTGGTTCTTTTTCGCCTGTCGATGAAG